TAAGCATACAAAGGACAGTCTAAAAAATATGGTCCGTGGGGTCACTTTTTGACCCCTTAAAGGAGTTTTAGAGACCTGAAATTTTGTATTTTAAAGTATTTTCAAAAATAATTGTGCAAGAGTTATCTCCCTTTGGCAATCTATTTGAAGACTAATATGCTCTCTATGTTTCAATTTTGGTATGGATATGTAGAGTACTTCCGGTTTTATAAGTACCTTAAAATTGCCTATGGAGATTTCCATGTTAAATTTGAAATCATACGATGTCCATTATTTTCAAAGGGAAGCAAGGAAGTCTCATAATATTTCACATGAAAAACTACTTTAGCATTGTCTTTCGGTGCTTAGGTCATGAAAATAAAATTTCTTAAAATAAAAGGGATTTTAGGGGTCAGTACAGAAAATAGTTTTTTGTTTATTACTTTTTTTATTTGTCCATAGATCTTCAAACTGATTTCGGTTTTGAGTTAAGCGTAACAAGGGCAATTAAAAAATAATGGTCCGTGGGGTCATTTTTTGATCCCTTATGGATGTTTTAGAGACCTGAATTTATGTATTTTTAAGTAATTTTAAAAATAAAGATGCAAGAGTTATCTCCCTTTGTCAACCTGTTTGCAGTCTAATATGCTCTCTATGTTTCAATTTTGATATGCATATAAAGAGTACTTCCGGTTTTATGAGGCCCTTAAAATTCTCTATGGAGATTTCCATGTTAAATATGAAATCATAGAATGTCCCATATATCAAAAGGGAAGCAAGCGATTCTCGTGATATTTAACATGAATAATGACTCAATCATTGTCTCCAGTTGGTAATGTCAGGGAAAGAAAAATCCCTTAAATAGAAGGGACTTTAGGGTTCAATTCAGAAAACAGCCTCTTCTCCCTATCTTTTTTTATTTTTCAAGCAATCTTTAAACTTATTTTGGTTTGGTATTAAGCAGAAAGAGTGCAGTTTAAAAAACATTACCCATGGGGTCACTTTTTGACCCCTTATATGAGTTTTAGTGGATTGAAAAAAAAAATACATTTTCATATGTTTTAAATATTGATGAAAGAGTTATTTCTCTTTGAGTAGAAAATGATGGACAAAAAGAATCGTTATGTTTTCAGGTCAGTATTTATCTTAAAAGAACTTTTGTGAAATTGAACCTTATGAGTTTTATATCATGTAAGTTTTTAAAGCTCCTGATTTTTAGGCGTCGAAAAGCCCTCCGTTTTTGTTGAACGACAAAAATAAGGTCTAGTATTTTTTTGTACTTCTGTTATCATGAAAAGACAACTATTGCATTAAAATCATATTTTGAATGGCACATCGCCATTTGAAACGCTTTTCCGCATATGGACGGTTAATAATTGCATATTTTCGAGACACATCTTGAGTATCTATGTGAAAAGAGGAAAAATAAAGATAGAAAAAAAATCAGAGCAATTCTTTCTCTAGTTTGCATTGCTTATTTGAAAAAAGATAAATAGTTAAGTAAAAATTAAACAGCTACAAAACCTGCGCACATCGCATGAAATTCACATAGTATTTCTTTCTAGGTTATATCAGTCTTCCGATTCCTCAGTGTGGAGTAGGGAGATTAATTAATTACTAATGTGTAGTAATTGTTAGGCCATTATATGTGTTTGCTCGAAATATTTCCGAATTAGTTCATTTATATATAATTCTCTGTTAAGAGAGTTTCTGTCAATTTTTAAGCTACATGTACAGTTGAATATATGTTTATTTTGTTTGTTTTTCTAAATACATGTACGAGGGATGATCAAAAAGCTCGCGAACTATCTCTATATCTGCAAAACTACAATTAGAATAAAATTTGATACAAACATACCCGTACACGACTTCTATAAATAGCATATGCTGAATTAAGTTTTGCTCCTTGTTTGTGACGTCACCATGTGAAAATGACGTCATATGTAGATCACTTGTGACAAAAAAAAATGGTTGTCTCAGTCGTTCTCGTTCAACGAACGACTGTAAAATTTATGGTATATCTTGGAAGTTCCTTTGCAGTAGCGTATAATAATTTGTACACAGTTAATTAAGACAAAAAGATTTTATAGAAATTTAATCAATGATTGGATTAATTGTTATAGTGAAGAAAGGGAGACGGTTAAAAATTATTTTTGTTCTGTCGCCCAGTGAAAGAAAGTTTTAAAAGATATGTGTTTTAAATTAAGCAATTTGCTATAAAAGACCTCAAATTTACAGTTTGAAAAATAATTGAATATCTTAATAATATAATTATTAAATACCTAAGATATCGTAAATTTAGATTTAAGACATATTAGGTATGATAAAAAGGAGGCACACATTCTCTATCCACCTTGAATAAACGTCTCTCCCGAGACAGCAGAGGATTTGGGTTTTGATGGTCGTCATGCTCATTTTAGGAAAGGATATTCTTATCCACCTATTGTGTTGACGAGATTTGACTTTTTCTAACAAGGGAACTGTGCTTGTTATAAAAATTAACTTGCATGAAAAGCAATATAAAACTCAAATTTGTGACAGAACGCTACGGAGCAGGTCATGTGACCGCCTATATTACGCGATTCGCGCATAAGCAGAACCGTGGCAGATGTACATTAAAATTGGAGACGACTAATTTAAAATATAATCAACACTGAAACCAAATATTGTTTCTTTTATGGAGGTTATTAAATTAGTTCGTGAACGTTTTTCTCACCCCCCGTATACATCTTTACCTACAGGATTATATCTGTATATTGTTTGGAATCATTGTAAAAATATTTCTATGTTTATTTTTAAATATTTACATTTCCAATGTCTTTGTCCGAGATAAAATTACAAATTGTAAATGTAATTTATTTCCCTATCAATGTTTTGGCGCGGTTCCAAAAAAAATCACGTGCGGGGCGGAACAAACAGATAGACAGGAGCGGGGCTTGGAGCACGTGGATTGGCGGCATCAAAGCATGTAAATATAAGGAACAACTGTCTTATTTTTCAATTTCATGACGATGATCAATCGATTGGGTTGCTTGATAATTGATGCATAAACGCCTTCGGCGTTTATGCAAATTATCAAGCAACCCAATCGATTGATAGCATCATGAAATCGAAAAATAAGATAGTTATTCCTTAAATAAACGTATCTTCTTTGGAAATACTAGTTCTTTGCTTGGCTTAGGCAGAAGAGATTTGTTAAGTATTGTATGACAACCATCAGTTTTATCCTTCTCAAGTTCATCATTGTTCTTATGTAATTTTCTGACTTATTTAAACAACAATGGTATATTTTTATGAAATAAAATTGATATGTAAGGAATTCAAGGGGGTCGACTGGAATGTCCACGACGCAATACTTCGCACATCATAGTAAAAAGAAGCATATTTACTGTTTCCGAGCAAAATTTTCCACTAGATTAATAAAGTTGCTCTGAATTAAAAAAAAAATGAAGGTTAAAAGATTTAATTTTTCTAACTGATTTTTAAAACGATTTTTTCAACTGATAGGTAGATTGAAATTGTTATGGTGTTATTTGTCGTGATGGAAATTGTTATGGTGTTTAAATGGGGTAATGAAAATGTTATCAAAGGAAGAGTATTGCATATATGCTCTTAAAATTAAAAATTTAACATTTTTAGAATTTTTTGATCATTTTTATTACTATTTTTTTTTCGTATATATCCTTTGTATCTGTCATATTTTGTAGTACTCTACAAAAACAGAAAAATTCGTTAATTCTTTGCACGCAATCGAGATGTCGCCTCTGTAAACAAGACACTTCTAAAAATTTTGTGATTATTACATGTTAAGTACAATATGGTATTACTCATTATATATATTATAATTTGAGAAAAAAAAGTCAGTTGTAGTATTATTATTATGTTCTTTCAAGTGCGAAAATTTGACGTTTTCCTGTAAAATCCTATAGTAAATGTACCTGTATTTTGAATCGTTCCCTTAAATTAGTTAGACGGTAGATCGTCCCAAATCATTGCAGGTACACTGTTGTCAATGTTAGTTACATACGTTATTAAATCAAAGAGTTTCTCTATTATAGTTTTCGCACAAGAAAATCCCAATGTATTCCCTTAAAGGATCGTAGTTTTCTTTCTCTCTCAAACAATTACATGATATAAAATGCTTTATTGAGTAAGGACATAACAGTTACCATTTCTTTTTCAGAGTAGCAGCGTAAAAAAAATAATATTTTCTTCTCATTGTAATTGCTGAATAATGCATTTGGTAAACAGTTGTAGACAAAGTCTAAAAGGATTTTTAATTAATTTCAATTTGTAATTATAATGTCAATGGGCGGGATACTATAGATCAGACCGAGCTTCCGTGTTTCTTTTCGGCTGGATCCACAAAACTCTTGCCTAAGAATAGGCCGTTGTTTGTTATTTTGTTTTATCAACCTTTTTGATGACATGCAGCAGTTTAGGTCTTTTGAATCTAATGATATTTATAAGGGGGTAAACTTGAAATACATGAATTCTGTACCTTGCGAAAGATTACAAGGTTCGTAGCTTGTCTGGGTGACCCCCTTTTTTCTTATTTACATTATGTCACAATGTCATTATAATGATGGGGGTCAGATTGTGCAATATTTTGCCTAAGATGTGTAATACTCTATATTTGAGTCCCCTTTTTATGACCCCCATTTTGTTAACTGTGTTCTACTTCTTTCGTCATTTACTTTAATAAATAACATATTTCACTTCTACATTATGTTATTTGTTTTTCCTGCTTTAAAAAAACAAGCTCAGTCGTTCGGCAGAAGAACTAAGGAATACAAACACTCTGTCTTAAGAGTTGGCCATAAATACTGTGTACATGAAGATTATATTTTGCAGCCTTCCACACTCAGCCGTGAAAACAAAATTATCACCCTGGGGTGTAAAGTACCTATTACAGAAATCTATATCGTCTCTTTTTTTCTTATTTCTCGGGTATCTAACATCATTTTCTGAACCTTTTTGTCACTTTTGCGATACTGATAAATGTTTTTGACTTTGAAGGTGAACAAGTGGAGGATGTAACCATTATTGGGGCCGGTATTGGGGGGGCCTACACAGGGTGGAGGCTCAGGAACAAAGGCCTCCGAATAGGAATTTATGAATACTCAAATCGTGTTGGAGGCAGGATGTACACAAGAACTTTTCCAGACGCCCCCGACCTTCCTGTAGATTTTGGAGCCATGAGGTTAAAACCAGCAGACCATCTCAGGATGATTAAAGCCGGTAGAGAATTAGGGTTAACATTCATTCCTTTTGTTGAAGAATCGGGTCGGATTCCCGAACGCACCCGCCTTTTCCTGCGAAACACTCACATGTCTATCCCTGAGTTGGAAACGTCCAAAAACCCCTACAGACTTAGCCCAGGGGAAAGAAAAAATCCTGCTGAATTAAAAAGGTGAGTTTTAAGACTTTTCTGAAAGGAAGCTCAAAAAAGTTTTGCGTTCATTGCTATTGCATTCTTGAAACTTGATCAATATGCTTTTTAAAAATTTCATGCAACTCTTTCAGTACATTGATATAAATTGAAGATTTAATGCATCTGTTGTTGGTAGAATTAATTCAATTTGTTCTAATTATCTGTTAATTAAACATACTTAATATGTAAACGATATGGAATGATTGAAATTGCTTAATAAATGAAATCTAGATCTATAAATTACCCCAGCAGGCACACAACGTTGTTTAAACGTTGAATATTAGTTGAAGTTGGGTTTAGACGTTGATAAATCTAGATACAATATTGATTCAACGTTGAAAATTTAACGTTGAATCAACATTGAATTCAAATTGAGTTGAATTGCCAACATTGATTCAACGTCGGATCTTCGCTGAGCGGTCCAATCCTATTTTTCGCTGATAGATAATTTGGACTATGATAGTGTCGGACTATAACACTGTCGGACCATAACGAGGTCGGACTTGATAAAGTCGCACTACCGTATATCATTACTAACTATTATAACTAACAAGAATGGTAGATATAGGAATTTTACACATTCAATGATAAATATGAATTCAGTACGAATTTGCCAAAGTACGAATTAAAAGCATACGCAGTAGGACATCCGGAAAATATTTTTAAAAACAGCAAAACACAACCCTCAGGACTCAACAACAAGATTTAATAAAAAAAATACTCTTTAAAGAAAACATTTCGGCATGTCAGAGTACTAGTATCATTGAAGAGACATAATTTGTCGAAATGCATATCTGGTGCATCAAAAGTTGTACCGTATAAGATTTGCATCTTACCTTGTAATGGTTTCATGTTCTGGACTATTTCATGACCACATGTGAAAATACAAAACGTTTGTAAATGCTCGGGTTTTGTAACATGATTAATTTATAAAATGTATTTTGGTGAAAATTATTGTAACACAATTAACTATTGATAGGAAATTAAACACTTACTGTTTACAATATGTATGAGGTGCATATGAAAATAATACTTACTATTATACCTATTTAAATCATGTTAGAAAACATCATGGAGCGATGTTTCCTAAGTCAGAAAATCACAATGTTGAATGTTGTAAGAAAAAAATATATCTGTGATGAGGAGTTATCTTTCTTCTAAATATTTCTTCAGGTGAAAAAAAGTCATTCTAATTAAAATACTGTATTAAGTACTTGAAATATTAAACCATTTTTAAAATGGTACTTAAAAAGATACAACTTATTCTATTTATAAGGCATTTGATGTTGGATTTAAATGTTTTATTGTTAAATATAATAAAACAATAACAAAGAAATTTGCGAAAGAAATAGAAAGTAATGTTTCCATCGTATTTTTCATCTCATCAAATTGACTACTCAGAGGTCTCAGGAAACTGAATATGAAAACTTTGAGTAGTATTACTATTTTGTACTGTGAAAGTTATTTGTCTTATGAGAGGGTCGCTATCCCTTCAACAATTATGAAGGCATCCTAGCAATCGTGCAATAAAACGGTTGAAATTTTAAGTAAGTAAATTATTACTATATGACACTCCCCTTTCCAAAATAAATAATTGAATAAACGTTGAATCAACTGTTTTTCAACATATAATCAACGTTGATTGTCAATGTTGATTCAATGTTAAGACTTCAACGTTGATACAAATTTTCAAAATCTAACATAAAATCAATGTTGAATCAACATAGAAAAACAACGTTGATTCAAAGTTTATTCAATGTTGTGTGCCTGCTGGGACTGTAGTATACCTGGTATATCAAGACCTTGTCTTTTTAAGGCACCAAATATTGATTAACGAGATTTTTTATGCATTACCTTTTTTATGATTTATTAAGATCGGCGTAACTGAATAATTTATTATCTATATTGTAAATAACAGAATATTTCTTCAGTTATAAAAATGTAAGAGTTCATTACCAATTCAGGATTGTAATGAAAATTTTTCTCTCACGCTGTAGGTTACTATCTGAATGGTTTACAAACTATAACGGTTCTGATCCAAATACAGAACTTTTTACTGCTGTCACTCTCAGAGATGGAGTACCTTTATATTTGCAGAGGTTTGTTAAAACGCGCGTTATTCAATTTGTTTGCACACACAGTTGCAGTTATGAGATTATATTTTCAAAAAATAATGATTTATTGCTATAATATTGGCAACATAAGAATAAACAATATCTTGAAGTTTGATATCCAGTGTTTTATGTGACAGTGTCATAAAATAGCTCAACCCTAAAAATCTTCAAAATCATTTTCAGCTACGAAGAGGTTTTACGAAAAACTGGAATAAGTAATGAGGCATACAAGTATATACGTGACAACTCTATATTCAAATATGGTTTGGGAGATGACCAAAGCATTGAACGGTTTCCTCAAGCAAGACGAGGATTCGAAAAGAACACTACTCCCAATGGACTTCCACGGATGGTAACTATACCCACAGGACTTGGTTCATATCCCATGGGATTTATGAGACGATTCCTGTCAAGGAACCCAAGAAGGTATTGTCAAAGATATATTTTCAGAAAAGATAAATTTTACAAATTTTGAGTATTGTATTGAGTATTGGCCAATCTCAAAGTTTTTTTTCTATTTTCAATTCTGTTCGTTATCTCCATATGTTTCATTAAATGGTGAAAAAAAAAACAGTTCAAGAAAATATAGCTCAGTAATTTGAATGAACATACAAAAATAAGGCATTCATTCATCTAGTAAGGCTACGATGGGAAGGCATTTATACTCATAAATTAAATGAGAAACCTTCATCTTCCACCCATCTATTTGACTGCTTCATGGAAAACGGGAGATTACCGGTATTTAGAAACAAAGTAGCTTCATACTTAATTGACGGAAAGACGTCTGTTTTGAACGCACAGAACAGAAATTACATGTATCTCGTTTATTATATGATGTAGATTTTTGTCTCTCCTAATTGTATTTAATCAGTAAACATTCCAAAGATATAAGTATTCGACTTTGCCCTTCGAAGTATCATTTTGTCTTTTCAAGTCGATCATCGTATCAATATTCATTTTAATAATTTCAATTCCTGTTGTAGACACCGGTATCATCCAAACAGCCAACTAATTAAAATATCGAAAATAAAAAGAGGACTCTACCGATTGATGTTTAGAAGAACAAGAACTATCAACGGTAGAACTATTCCTACAAGTAGTTACTTCAGCGTGATTACTCGTAATGTTATACTAGCTTTACCAAAGATAGCTATACAGCGGATTCAGATGCCAAACTCCAACAATCCAGTTTTCCAGAAGGCACTAAATTCGGTGATTGATGTTCAAGCCTCCAAGATATTCCTTGTGTACGATTATCCTTGGTGGCTTAATGAGCGATACAATTTCACGTTTACCCATTCAGATCTTCCATACCGACAGTCCTTCCATTGGGGTATATCTCGCACTGGCAAAGCAGTTTTTCTCATGTCGTATGCTGACTTTGATGATGTCGCGTTCTGGAGTCATCTTCAACAAAGAGGAAACGTCATAAGCAAAAGAAATGATGATACCCGGGTAACGGACGAGGTTGTAAGACACGCACATAGTCAGATTTCCAAAGTTTACAAGATAGACCGGAGACATCTCCCTGCTCCTGTGGATGGAATGATGTTTGCTTGGGACAAGTACCCGTACAATGGTGGCTGGGTCTCTTGGAAACCCGGATCAAGATGGTACGACATTAAAAACTATCTGAGAGCGCCTTTGTCTGGAGACAATATATTTATTGTGCATGGTTATTGGGGAGCAGAGCATAATGGTTGGGGGGAGAGCTCGTTGGAGGCGGCTGATGACGTATTAACTAGCTTTGGAGTTCCACCTTATCTTTATAACTTGGATAAAAAATGAATTTCCTTGTTGCTTAGTTAAGGAAGACAAACATATTATGTAAACACAGTGTTTATCAAACGTTGTCAGTCAATTGTTTTCAGAAAAATTGAAAAATTACTGATAATTCTTGTAACAACAAGTCAACAATACATACATAGTTTTAATAATTATATATATTTTATAAATAACAATGCATTTATTGCTGTTTGAAAGCTGTATTATGAATCTCTCACTTTATTGCATACGTTTAATATACTTGTTCTCTCAGTCGGATTTAATATTATTACTTTGTTTATTGACAACATATTGTTATGGCTAATAAATCATTTCTTCAAACAATTTATTTTGCGTCATATTGTGATCCTGTTATGTCATGTCATTAGTGCCAGCGGTTCTTGTAGAAATCAGTAACTGCAAAACGTTATAGGGTTGGATTCTTATATATTCCACGGAGAAAAACTTTGAAGACTGTTGAATTAAAAGGTTCAATGTTTCAATGTTTTATAACAATAACAAAATATAAATATATAGACAAGCACATTCATTTTACAACACAAAATGATCACAATTTGAACACATAAAATTTAAACCATTAGGCCAATTTTTGTTTAATAAAATGGTTTACCGGAGTGCCGACTGCAATTTTAGCTAAAAACAAATAAAAATAAAAGTCCCTGTTGTTGATTTTATTTTTAAATTTCCCATCGATCGTCAATGCATGTGCAGCAAAAAAAAAATAATAATAATAAAATTGTGTGCAAATAAGTCGGGAATTCTGATTGGCTGTTTCATTCAAAGCCTTAGTTATCATCCAATCAATTTAAGTTTGTTATCAATATTTCGGAAGTGTATAAAACGTGTCAACATGGATGCATAAATGTCAAATTTCAATTAAGTTGAGAATACGTCGTCCTAATACACGTTAGTTTTTACAAGTCAACCATAGTGAACAGGAAATTCAATCACAGTACATCTGATGACGAAGTTAAGTTGGAATTAAAAAGAAATTAAAGAAATAACTAGAGAATATGTTGACAGGACTGCCACTTTCGATGTGGGGTACCGTATACAGTAGTTCTCTTTTACAATTTTGAAACCTTTGATGAAAATGATAGAAAAGTGGAAATAAAATATGGACGTCCGAATTTTGTGAAAAACAAAATTTGACCTATCTAACTTGCATGTATATCCATGAAACGTTTTAAAACTTGTAACATCTTAAACAGATCATATGCAGCACTTTACATGTACAGACTGGACATTTGTATTAAGTATTTTGTTGTGTGTTAAACAGTTATAGAATAGATAAAAACATTGCAAACGAAATGGTTTTAATTTTAGATATGTCTATATTTTGAATATTCCTTTTAACTTAATCAAGCTTTAAAAATTTTATTAATTGCATAAAACATGTGCTGCATTGTAAAATACAGGTTCAATTTCTGGTTCGCGATCGGGGTTTTTATCAGATTCTCTTTATGACAATATTTCCCATTTTTCATTTGTTGGTTCATGATTTTTACAGTACTTTGAACATAGTGATGTTCTCATTTAATAAAAACATCTTTCTTTGGTCATCTTGTTGTCATAATGAATATTTTGATAAGGAAATCCTTAGATTCCCCCATTCCTCCTAAGGGTTTAATAGTGTACTTTAATATTTGTGTTGTTGTTATCATATTTTAAGCCTCACACCATATCTATAGCAATTCTTATCGAAGTATTGAAAATCAAAAAATCGTACACTTTTTCCATTTTTTTTAAAATTCTTTAAGTCAACTGCGGAGATTATGGAATGTTATATAATTTTTATTTATCCCTCCCCCCGACCAAATTAAAAAAAAATCCCGTAAACCATTTAATAAAAAAAATGTTGGCTTACTTTACTTACTGGCATAACAAAGATCCCTCCCTGCTTGTTGGCTCTGAGTGCCGAGTAGACAAAAATTTGCAGCTCTCCACCGACAAGTGGTGGCGCCTCCATATGAAGGAAAAATTCTCGAAAAATTCTCGAAAAGGGCGTTCAGCAAAAATACAATCAATCAACAAGTTCCCCCAATTTCCATTGGTTATTTTTATCTTCCCTTATCAATAGTTTTTTTGTTGCTTTCATTTGATAGAGAATCCATTCAAAAACTTCAAAACAACATCAATTATCTATTTTCATATAATTTGTTAATTATAATATTCAACAATCGTTTTTATGTATTATTTTCCGTTTGCGTCATCTCACAGGGTAATGAGAACATCACAGGATTAAATGATCAGCGAAAGATTCATATCCCTTCATGGCACTTAATCCCCACCTTGATGTTTTTAACAGGTCAACATTTCCTATGCCTTTAATTGCATTGTTATAATGGAAAATTGAGCTTGATTTTTGATAATCCATCTTCATACTTCTGAGCTACTTTCTTCAGAACAGCACAATTAAGAACCCTTTCTGCACTGTGTACTTAATTGTTCTGATTCTATGGTCTTTTCAGCAGTTGGAGTGATCTGCCTTTAGATCTAAATTCTAATAAATTTAAACTTACAGTATAATACTCAATTTTTATTCAATTGATGTATTCTTAAGCCACCATAAATTAATTGGACATAGTATTTACGTGTTCTTTCTCCATAGAAATAAATAACAATGATTTCTGTTCAAATAGACTTATGTTCAAACATTTTCCTAGGGGTAAATAACTCGTAACAAATATTGAAAATTATATTGATAAGCTCAATATTTACCCTTTTATTCAACATAAATATCCTAGAGTCCAAAAATCATTTATGTTTGTGTAAATTAAGAGGGTCCTTAAAAATGTTAAAGTAAAACAGTAACTGCAAAAAGTTTGCTTGCTGCTAAACATTGCATTTAATTATATCTGTGGTTTGGATGCACAGTGAATTTATTTGACGAGCTTTTATTTGATGAGCTCAGGAGTGCTAATGTGTCATTGTGTATAAAATGAAATGAATAAATGTTTATTTTGCTTAGCCTCGCTCCTTTTTATCGGGACGATTAGAGCATATTAACATTGCAACCTACATTAGCAGAATGTATAATATATTGCGTGATTGAAATGTTTCATTTCTTGTAAAGTACTTCTCCGTAAGAAGAATGTATGGTTTTCCCAAGGATGCCAACAATACCTTATAAATATTTACGAGTTGACTTCTGTAGTATATATATATATATATATCTAAAAAGTAATTATTCTTTAAAGATTTTTTATTTGTTTCATGTACATGCAGAAAAAAATGGAATTTATTTCAGTGAGCATATGCATTTTTCTCAGTCTAGGGCAAATTAAAGGTAATCTTTCTTCTAATTTTAAACAGGTTGTATTACCTTTAACTTCTGTTATCATGAAAAGATATCTATTGCGTTAAAATCATGTTTTGAATGGCGCATCGCCATTTGTAAAGCTTTCATGGACAATTTATAATTACACACGTTCAAGAAATATCGTAAGTATCGGAGTGAAGATAGAAAAAAATCGGTTAGAAAGAGATCAGTGCAATTTTTTCTTATTGCTTATTGGAAAAAAAGATAAACAGTTAAGTAAAAATTGAACAGCTTAATAATTAAGTAACCTGCGCACTTTCAATAAAATCTATATACATGTAGTATTACTCTCTGTTAGCTCTATCAGTCATCTGATTCCTCAATGTGACGTGAGGATATAAAATAATTATTAATTGTACGGCCATTTTGATGCACACTGTATTGTCGACGGTTTTTCCCATTATTTTCTGATCTTGACAAGGAGCACGAGGCGGTTATGACCTGTCTGCTGTAGATGCTTGCTCCTCTATTGCACCTGGTCCCAACTCTGATGCTTGGAGGTTCATGTTTGCAACGCTAAAATTTTGACTTGTTTAATGAACTTTTGAGCTTGGATACTATTCGTTATCAACATATTGTTTAAATTTACTAAACACTAATCAATATGTTTAAAGCATTTGAAAATTAAATTCATTGAATTATCAAACGATTTATTGAAAACTTGAAGGAAGGAACATCATACGTTGTCATTCACATAATATGTAATAAGATTAATCCATATGTAATTCCTCAAAATATTTCTGCATTAGTTGATTTATAGATGACTGATAAGAAAATTTCTGACATTTTTTAAAGCTATATACACGAGAGTTGTCCGTTAAATTCGTGTACGAGCTAAAATGTGAAAAAAAAGCTTTGTGATTAATTTTTGTTATAACAACAAAACACCAATGGATTTCCTTAAAGGGTCGTCGTTTTCTGTTACATGATAGAAAATGCTTTATTGAGTTTGGGCATGACAGTTACCATTTCTTTTCGGAGTAGCAGCGTTAAAATATTTTTTTTCTTTTCAATGTAATTGCTGATTAATAAATTTCGTTAACAGTTGTAAAAAAAGTCTAAAATGATTTTTAATTAAATTCAATTTGTAATTATGATGTTAATGGGCGAGACAGTATAAATAAAACCGAGCTTCTGTGTTTCTCGCCAGTTGGATCCACAAAATTTTTCTTGTGAGAGTTGGCTGCTGTTTGTTATTTTGTTTATACTCCCTTTGTTGATAGCAGTCAGCAGTTTCGGGCATATTGTATATCTGTTTTTTTAAATTTATTGATGTCAATGAAGAGGGGGGAGGGGGGCAAATTGATCTGTACCTTGTGAAGATTACAGGTTTGAATTTGTATTCTTGTGTGGTTGAACCAAGGGTTCTTCCTTTGCAAGTCAGGTTACGATGCCATTTTGGTGCTGGGGATAGATTATGCAATAATTTGCATAAGCTTTGTTATATTCTATATTTGAGTCCCCTGTTCATGATCCCATTTTTTTAAACTGTGTTTTACTTTTTTCATTTACTATTACTTTAACAAATGACATATTTCACTTCTACATGATGTTATTTCGTTTGCCTGCTGTAGAAAAAAACAAGCTTAGTCGTTCGACAGAGAACTAAGGAACATAAAAACTCTTTCCTAAGAGTTGGCTATAAATACTGTGTAGATCATATTTTGCATTATCACCCTAGAGTTTAAAGTACCTAATACAAAAAATCATATAATATCCTTATTCTTCTGTTTCTAACATCATTTTCGGGACAACTGCACTTTTACGTCCAAATAACATGGAAATAGCACGTGCTCTTTCT